AGGAGCTTGTTCATCCCTTCTTCTACTCACTTCCATCAAGAGGGATATCTCATCGTCTAAGTCCCACGTCTCCTCATCATAGCTTTCGTCAAATGCTTTTTCTGCTTTTAATGCTTTTGATGATGATGAAGTAGGTTTCTTCTTTTGCACACTCAATGCAATGGACTTCTATTTTTGTCCTGCTTCATCTTATTGTAGCTCCATCTCATGGACTTTGAGTAGTCCAACCAGTTCTTCCAGTGAGAGCTTTTCAAGATCCTTGGATGCTCTCAGAGTTGTGACTTGAGGTCTCCATTTCCTAGGTAGACTACGAAGTAATTTGTCAATATGATCAAAATTATAAGTCTTACCTAGAAAAGAGAGCTCATTAACAATAGTTTGAAATCTTCCAAACATAGTTTGGATAGATTTGTTTTCTTCCATCTCGAAGAGTTCATACTTACATACCAACAAGCTTAACTTGTTGCGTTTTAGCTCTAGAGATCCCTCATAGGTTATGGCTAGTGTATCCCACATTTGTTTGGCGCTCCTGAAGTTGTGTACTTTGGTATATTCTTCTTTGGTTAGAGCACACATGAGAGCGTTTCTGGCTTTGGAGTTTAGCATAAATCTTTGTTTTTGATTTTCATTTCAACGTCCCTTGGGTATCTCCCTGCCAGCATAATCATGTGGAATGTAGTCTCCCTGTTCTACTACCTCCCACATGTCTATATGACAAGCATCAAAGAATGCAATCATTCTTTGTCTCCATTAGTCGTAGTTGGTTCCTCTAAAGAGAGGTGAACGATTTACTGCATGTCTTTCATTTTCCATGACCGTTCCCCTACAGTGTTAGATGTTCAACCCTAGGGGTCAAGCTCTGATACCAATTGAAATTTAATGAAAACACACAGAAGAGAGGGTTGAATGTGTGAACGAAGGATTTTAAAACCGTTTTCGCAAACGTGCTTCTTTCCGTCTAAAAGTAAGGTTATAAATGCTTTGACGAAAATGCAATAGAAGCCTTGCGTCTAAAGATCTATCGTTTGTTCAAAAATGGTTTCTTGAATTCAACAAATATAACTTCATTTATATATGATTTAAAAATTAAGTAGTAGTAAACAAATTTTGTGTGATAGATCAATATAAGTAAAAACTATGTTTTTAACACAGATAACAATGCATAGAGTTTTTATAATGGTTCACTCGTTCTGAGCTACGTCCAGTCTCCTTCACTCGCTGACGCTAGTATTCTTAAACCACTTCTAGTTACCCAAGTATTCTCAACCACTCCTAGTTTGTCAACTTCACTTGCTGACGCTAGTATTCTTAAACCACTTCTTGTTACCCAAGTATTCTTTTGCTAGCCTCTTCAGTCTTTACAGACGATAGTTGTTTTGAGTGTGTTTGTAACTC